GTGTGCTCTTCCGATCTGTGACACATAAAATTATAAATTGATTTTATTTTGAATTTGATTGCAAATTACAGATCATCATAAAAATTAGTATAAAATAAATATCTTATTGCTTTACAACAAAAAATAAAAGTTCTTGGGGAGATCCCGTTTGCCTACAAAACGATTGCCAAATTCTTTATATTCTACGTAGCTTATAAGTCTTATAAGTTTCATAAAAATAAACCAAATATTAGGTAATAGGTATATATAAAAATATAAACAAAACGCTATTTAACTATGGTATACATATATAGCTTGCAACAACAAAAAAATAAATAATATTTAGAAAACTTATCCTAACTTATAATTTGCAAGTTCATGTGAAGAGAATGAATAAAATGGTATGTCGTCGATATTAGAAGAAGATAACTTACGTACAATATTAATAGACTGAACTACACAAATATATATGGTCTCGTTTTGGAAAATAAAATAAATAATTTTCTTTCTTTTTCATAAAGGATATAGCCCAATGTGCATATAAAATGTGTCCCCACACTAAATTAGACTTGCCATAGTTCGATCGTTAGACCTTTATAAAAGAACAATTTATGAAAGATCAAAAAAATTAAAATAATCATTTTTTCAATATTCTTAATTTCTAAACATTGGCGCTTATTTCCAAAAAATCTGAAAAAATTTAAGATAAATAATGTTGGAAAGGTGTTGTTACAGATAAAATATAAAGTTAGTTACTCAATAATTTCATCTTTAAAAATTGACAAATTTAAACTTCTTCAATTTTTTAGAATTCGAAATTTTATCTTGAAAATCTATAAAAATTCCCAGGCATGTATTTTGACGTTCAAAATATCGTTGAATTTTTTCATAATTTTTCGTTCATTAGAAGAGCATAAAAAATTATGATTAAAAATAATATTTTAGTTTGCCATTATCGTAATAGTAAGGGTAGAGGATTAAAACTTGATGAAAGTTGTTTTTTCATAGAGGCCTAACGATCAACCTATGGCAAGTCTAGTTTGGCGTGGGGGCACATTTCATATGCATATCGGGCATGCATACACCCTTTATGAAAAAGAAAGAAAATTATTTATTTTATTTTCTAAGCGAGACGATATTTTGTGTAGTTCAGTCTGTTAATATTGTACGTAAGTTATCTTCTCCTAATATCGTCGTCAAAGGATTTTATTCATTCTCTTATCCAGGAACTTGTAAATTATAAGTTAGGATAAGTTTTCTAAACATTATTTATTTTTTGTTGTTGCTATATACCATATAATTAAATAACATTTTGTTTATATTTTTATACCTATTACCTAATATTTGGTTTATTTTTATGAAAATATTTGCGAATATTTGCTGTACGTATACAAGTCTTTAAAATTATTTACACTTTCATTGTGATTTTATGGTGATTACACATGATTTCATCACAGATTTCATGTTGATTACATGATTTTCAGTGATTACACAAAAATTCAAAATAATTTCTGCTGATTACATATGATTTCTGATGATTTCACATGATCTCATCCGATCTCATATGATTTTATTACGATTTC